CCCTAAACCCTCGCAATAAACCCTAAACCCTAAACACTTGCAGTTTATACGAAACGCTAAACCCTCGAGGTAAACCCTAAACCCTAAACCCTAATTTGTTGCAGCTGAACCGCCTAAACCACCAAATATAAAACCCTAAACCCTTAAACACCATATATATATATATAGATAGAGATGATGCAGGCTGCTCCCCCCTAAACCCTAAACCCTAAACCCTAAACCCTGAGAGAGCATAAGGAGTGAAATCTTCGTATAATAATATTTATAAATAAATAAAATAAATTTATTTAATAAAAAATAAAAAAAAAAAACAAAAACAAAAATATTTATAAAGTATACTGCTGCGGTGACCCCAACCACCGGTCAACCATCGGCTGAGGGTTTAGGGTTTAGGGTTTAGGGTTTAGGGTTTAGGGTTTAGGGTTGTATATGGAGTTGAAATAAGTGTATTTCTGTTATTTATTTTTTTTTAATTAAATAAAAACAAAATAAAAAAAACACAAACAAAACTAAACCCTAATCGTTGCTGCAGCAGCAGCAGCAGCAGCAGCAGCAGCAGCAGCAGCAAAGCTATCTATTGAGAGGGGTTGACCATTCACTCTGTTTTTTTTTCTTTCTTTTTCTTTTCTTTTTCTTTTTTTCTTTTTCTTTTTATTTTTATTTTTATTTATTAATTAAAATAAAAACAATTTCTTCTTTTTTATTTTTTTGTATAAACCAAACCCCCCATACAGGCGAGCGCACACCGCTCCGAGGGTTTAGGGTTTAGGGTTTAGGGTTTAGGGTTTAGGGTTTAGGAGATGGAGGAGAACGACCAGTGTGCAGCAGCAGCAGCAAAACTTTTTGCTGCTTATGGGGGGGCCCCCTGGCAGCAGCAGCTGCAGCTATGGGCGGAGGGGGCCCCCGATGAGGTTGCAGTAGCAATCCTAAACAGTGACGTGAGGGTTTAGGGTTTAGGGTTTAGGGTTTAGGGTTTAGGGTTTAGGGTTTACGGTTTAGGGTTTAGGGTTTAGGGTTTAGGGTTTGGGGTTTGGGGGTTGATAGTGTAGCCAGATGAGGTAGTGGGAGGGCAGTGGCTGCTGCTGTTGCAGCTCGTTTTGCTGCTGCTGTTGCTGCTGCTGCTGCTGCTGCTGCTGCTGCTGCTGGTGCAGGCTGAGGTAACAGAGCAGCGAACATTTGCTGCTTTCAGGGACGAAGCAGTAGCAGCAGCAGCAGTGCTGCAGCAGCTGCTGCAGCAACGGCAGCAGCAGCCGCAAGAGACAGCAGTTGTATTGTAAGTCAAACTTTCCTGCTGCTGCTGCTGTTGCTGCTGCTGCTGTTGCTGCTGCTGCTGCTGCTGCTCTTGCTGCTGCTCTTGCTGCTCGTGTTGCTGCTGCTATTGCTGCTGCTGCTGCTGCTGCTGTTGTAGGCCTCGTTAGTGCTGCTTCCCATCCTGCTGGTGGTACTGCTGCTGCTTCTGCTGCTGCGGCTACTCCTGCTGCTGTTGCTGCTGTTGTTGCCGTCGTTGTTGCTTCTGCTGCTGCTGCTGCTGCTACTGCTGCTGCTGCTGCTGCTGCTGCTGTTGCTGCTGCAGATGCATGCAGAACGAGGTGACCTTTCTGTCTCTGTTTTACGGCTGTCTCCTC